TAGCTAGACAGGCATATATATATAAAGAGCATAACAATAAGTGAAGAGACACCCGCAAAAATACAAATCGACTATCTCCACGAGGTCAAAGGTCAAAGGTAACTAAACCCAACGTATGAATATCTCTTGGAAATAATATATTATCTCTTTAGTTGATGCTTGTCTTAAGAACATTTGTCTTATTAGAACTGTCTCCGGTACGTTGTTGGGATCTTATACTTGTTTGTCGTTACAGTGTGCTTTCATTGATTGAAATTTGGGCCATAGATGCGTTATTTATGATACAACCCTTTTATACGTGATCTGGAAACGAAATTTGATATGTTGACCAGTTTCTAGAGAATTTGTGCAGAAAGAATAATATGGTGAAGCCAACAGAGTATAATTCGAGCGACATACACGAAGTTGTGGTCTTGTAATAACCACATCTTGTTGTTAATTCTTTAGAACAGTACAAGGTTTGAGTTAACACTAATAGTAGATTCCTGCCTGTATTGATAAAATTAGGCGAAATTTCCAAGGAATGAAATAATTCAAATATCAGAACGTTGGACAAACTTAAATCCACACTGAATTGTCCAATATGTCGCATTAGAGTCAAGGGGGTTTTCGATCTGAAAATTTGTAAAACAGAGGAACGAGGAGGTTTTCGATCTGAAAATTTGAAAAACAGAGGAACGAGGGGGTTTTCGATCTGAAAATCTGTAAAACAGAGGAACGAGGAGGTTTTCGATCTGAAAATTGGAAAAACAGAGGAACGAGGGGGGTTTTCGATCTGAAAATTTGTAAAACAGAGGAACGAGGGGGGTTTACGATCTGAAATTTTGTAAAACAGAGGAACGAATACATATTATGGTTCCCAAACAAATACGTAATGTTTTATTTTGAATAATTTTCTTTCGTGTCTTGTTTACACTAAAAATCACCATTATTTCACTCACGTTCACTTAGCATTTTCTTTAACTTCTTTGTTAAGAGAAAACCACTTGAAATCACTTTAAATGTTTTCCAAGTGTTCTTCATTTTCTTGGACACAAATCTCTATTTAATTGTATTAAGTCATTAATCTAGGTCATCCACTAGATAATGGTCATCCAGTAGATAATGGTCATCTAGTAGATAATGGTCATCTAGTAGATAACGGTCATCCACTAGATAACGGTCATCCACTAAATAATGGTCACCCAGTAGATAATGGTCATCCACTAGATAATGGTCACCCAGTAGATAATGGTCATCCACTAGATAACGGTCATCCACTAAATAATGGTCATCCACTAGATTACGGTCACCCAGTAGATAATGGTCATCCGCTAGATAATGGTTATCCACTAGATAACGGTCATCCACTAAATAATGGTCACCCAGTAGATAATGACCATCCAGTAGATAACGGTCACCCAGTAGATAATGGTCATCCGCTAGATAACGGTTATCCACTAAATAATGGTCATCCACTAAATAATGGTCACCCAGTAGATAATGATCATCCACTAGATAATGGTAATATTGCATCCTTTGTTTTAATTTTCTTTATTTACTTATTGGCAAGTTCTGTACGTGGTCCATATAGGTCCACAACCACGAATACGTTGCACCGAAGAAGAACATTTCAGGGGAAATGCTAGAGTCCGGCTGAAATCGTGATAAAGCATAAAACATCAAAGAACCTTGTCTCCCAAAGTTGAAACAGTGTTTCACTTATAAAACACATAAAATGTTAACTTGTTTGCTACGTGATCACCTTACTGACACTTACAGCAGTATAATGGCTGGTATAAACCTTGTCGTGGAGTGAAGCCATGTACAACCACTGTAACAATGGGTGAAGTAGGTAGACTTCCAATGTTACTCTACTCAATGGAATTAAGCACTTCCAAGAAAGAATCTTGTTGACGATACCTAAAATTAAAAAAGGGGGGTTACATGTTGGATGATATTTGATACGGTATTTCTTTAACATTTTTTATAAATGGCGTTGCAATATTTCAACATTTATTTAAGAATAAATTAAAATGTGTTGTCATGTTTCTTAAAAAATTAAACATTTTCTTTGTTCATTTCTGAATATGAAAATAACAATATATCATTTACTATCTAAAGTAAAATAAAAAATGTATCCTGTCTTTTTAATTACGTATATAATTCAATTTTAGTTCGTTATTTCAACGTTGTGACGTGTGTACTATTTATCTTTACGCCAAGACTTCTTTTAAACGTTCTAAATTGAATGTATTTACTCTGTAACAGTCTACTTATGAACACGTGTATCGTACATTACTAAACACATAGTACTCTCATGGGCCATATAAAGATAAACCTTATTAGTTACTTACACTTGGGAACACGTGTATCGTACATTACTAAACACATAGTACTCTCATGGGCCATATAAATATAAACCTTATTAGTTACTTACACTTGGGAACACGTGTATCGTACATTACTAAACACATAGTACTCTCATGGGCCATATAAAGATAAACCTTATTAGTTACTTACACTTGGACTACATTACACATCTATGCAATTATGTACTACAATAGACGACTTGTTATATATTAATATGTATCCATATATGTCACATCACCTACCTCCTTGTCCAGTAATGCAGACCATTGTTACCCAGGCAACCCCTAACGTCCAGGCTATACGATGTGTTGCAGCATATAATATAGTTATAGGTAAGGTAGGTGTGGTTCCATTGTTCCAGGGGTAAACTCCGTATACAACAGCCATATTACAAGCAGTTGCCAGCAGCCATCCCAACACCAAAACGTACTGTAAAAATATTTACATATAAAGAGAGAAAAAATGCTGAATGAATATCAGTAACGTTTTAACAAAACACGAGGAGATCTAGGGAAAGTTGGAATATCATACTCATATAAATCATACTCCCACTAAAGGCTTTTAACGCTAAAATCCGGGTTTTCATACCCGTGGTGGGTACAGCACAGATAGCCCATCGTATAGCTTTGTGCTTAACTACAAATAAACAAACACTTATACTCGTAGTTTTATTCTTATTTTAGATAAAGACAATTTTAGTGTGCTATGTTCTAGTATTTATTTTGGAAATCGGCTGCCTTATTACATGATGACTTATTAGGGACAATAACGTAGCACAAATAAACGTATACGTGATTACTCTAAAAAAGGTAAACAACCAGTGAATTTCAGGCAGTGAATCTGTTTGTTTTAGAGCAAAGCCACATTGGGCTATCTGCTGTGTCCACTGATCTAAAAAGGCAAACAACCAATGAATTTCAGGCAGTGAATCTGTTTGTTTTAGAGCAAAGCCACATTGGGCTATCTGCTGTGTCCACTGCAGAGAATCGACCCCCTGGGTTTTAGCGTTATTATGTTTTATTATGTTATACGTGATTATGTTTGTTTTATTGGATAATACCTTGGGAAAAAATTACACTGTATTGTTTTTAATCACGTGCTCTTCTATAGCCTAACTGTGTATGGTATAATAAAAACTTGGAACCACTAGACAGAGTGTTTTGTTGTTGTTGTTTTTTACTCTAAAAAGGCAAACAACCAGTGAATTTCAGGCAGTGATTCTGTTTGTTTTAGAGCAAAGCCACATTGGGCTATCTGCTGTGTCCAATGCAGAGAATCGACCCCCTGGGTTTTAGCGTTATAAGTTCGTAAACTTACCGCTGATCCACCGGAGGACCCAGGCAGTGAAAACCGGGCATGGTCTTAGTGGTTAATGTGCATATCAGAAGGTTCGAGGTCTAGATGTGCCGCTGAACACATTCCACGCTTTTAGTTGTGGTTGAGTTAGAAAAAGTGATTGTCAACCCCGCTATTTTCAGTTAGAGTAACCGTGTAGGCGACGGGTGCTGCTGAATAATTAACCTCCCTGCGGTCAGCAGTTTTAATTTAGGAGTCTCTTTGTATACCGTTTATCGTTTGTTACATAAAATGTCGTTCAGGTTTGAAACACCAGAGGGTCAGTCTCCCATAGAAATCTTGCATAAATATGCGATTCTTCATCAATGATGTAATTTGAAATATAAAAATCTTATCTGCACTAAAGCAATGTGTTATTATTCCTCTATCATACCCACGTAAGTCATCTTCTCAGAAAAACAACAACAACAAACATATATGCATATTTTTTAATCATTTAGTTGTGCATTTATTAATGTTTGAGGACTTCATAAAACTGACAAGAATTGGTATATTATTAAACTGGACGTTTTTATAAAACATATTTTATTTCTATCTTTGTTTGTTTGTTTGTTTTGAATTTCGCGCAAAGCTACACGAGGGCTATCTGCGCTAGTCGTCCCTAATTTAGCAGTGTAAGACTAGAGGGAAGGCAGCTAGTCATCACCACCCACCGCCAACTCTTGGGCTACTCTTTTACCAACGAATAATGGGATTGATCGTCACGTTATAACGCTCCCACGGCTAAAAGAGCGAGCATGTTTGGTGTGACGGGGATTCGAACCCGCGACCCTCAGATTGCGAGTCGAGCGCCTTAACCACTTATTTCTATCTATTGCTTGTAGCATGTTTAAAGTACCCAATTCTCAAACTATGAACCTTACCTTTGGGAACACCAGGTGGCGCCTTTTCCAGTAAACGTAGCCAAGTAGCATACCAATGGCATAAGGACCGAGGTGTGTGTACGGTTTGGAATATAGGACTTGCACAATTTCATCCTGCTGGCTGTGTGACACAAGATATATCTGTATATTAATATGTCCGTTTTTCGCTCTTAACAAATTCACTGTACTTAGAAAATATAAAGGTTCATATTTAACTTTTCACAACACTTTATTAATTAGCCTATTTGGTGATTTTGGAACATTACCTCAGGTCAGGATTTATAAGCAGCTGTACTGGTGGAAAGTCTTTAAAATACGTTATCAGAGCTATGGACAATATTGATAACAAGATGAGACCGACGTTTACACAGACTCCAATGACGAGTTTGTCCCTGCAAAATATACCATACGTTTATATTGAATAACGGTTATATTAAGCCTAAAAATAACAGTCGTTCTTTTAATGAAAACATTTTCCTGTTTTATTTTATTCTCAATATTTCTTGATTGAAAGTATATAGAAAATGGAACGAGAAACGCAGTAGTGGCCATTCAGTATATATCATATTTTTATCGTTTGGCTTTACAGATTATATATTTTCGGACTTACAAATAACAAACTCGTGAAATAAGCTTGCTTTCGACAATCATAAAACAGAAGATGAAAATATATCAAGATTCATTAATTCAGTTAAATATTGTAAAGATTATAAGATATATTTATTTTATTTATCTAACACTGATAAAATACAGTTTAAATAATAAAGTTTCTGCGTACTTGAGTAGGGGAATTATCACGAAAATTGAGAGCAGGAACAGTTGCATGTCACAGCAGAGATACCACGAATACCCCATGCACTAAAACAAAAAAAATTATAAATCTGTAACACTCAAAATATCTAAAAGTAACCAGAGATACCACGAATACCCCATGCACTAAAACAAAAAATATATAAATCTGTAACACTCAAAATATCTAAAAGTAACCAGAGATACCACGAATACCCCATGCACTAAAACAAACAAAAATTATAAATCTGTAACACTCAAAATATCTAAAAGTAACCAGAGATACCACGAATACCCCATGCACTAAAACAAAAAAATATAAATCTGTAACACTCAAAATATCTAAAAGTAACGTTCTATATCTATAGCAGGAAATATGTCTATTATTGCTGTTCTTTTTTTTTTTTAGCGCAAAACTACACAATAGATTATCTGCGTTTTGTCCACTGCGGGAAATCTAACCCTAAATTTTAATGTTGTAAGTACATAAACTTATCGCTGAATCATCAGAGGATATCAGAATAGCTAAAAGATAAATTTTAACATCTGTACAAGTCAAAATATATAAAAATAAGATTATTGATTTCAAACTAATAAAAAAATATATTCTTCCCCGGTGATTCAATGGTAAGCTTGAGGGCTTATAACGCTAAAATTCAAGGTTTCATATCATTATACAGCTTTGACTGTAAAGAAACAAATAAACTTTCTAAAATTAAAAATATATATCGAAACTAAATAAAATATATCTTACTGTATGAATTTTGGAAAAGAAATAAATCAGTTATCAACGCTATTTTCAAGTTTTGAACAACTCGACTTTCAAGATCTTCATCTCTACATGTGCCGATGTTTCCGTTTATCAACGTTATATTTTAAGATCTGAACAAGAACTCAGCTAACAGTTGTTTCCGCATATAAAAGCTATCTTCATGTTTTGTACACCAAAAAAAACTTTTCAAGAAATCGATCTGTTAGACTATAAAAATAATGGAAGTATAAACTAATGTGCCTTTATATGATTTGTTTGACCCATATATCGAACATTTGTGTTGTTATGAAACTTCTAAACACAATTATTTTCGTTTCTACGAATGTGTCAAAGCCTAAACTCAACTGTGTCTGAACGACTAATGTGCCTTTATATGATTTATTTGACCCATATATCGAACATTTGTGTTGTTATGAAACTCCTAAACACAATTATTTTCGTTTCTACGAATGTGTCAAAGCCTAAACTCAACTGTGTCTGAACGACTAATGTGCCTTTATATGATTTGTTGACCCATATATCGAACATTTGTGTTGTTATGAAACTTCTAAACACAATCATTTTCGTTTCTACGAATGTGTCAAAGCCTAAACTCAACTGTGTCTGAACGGCACTTTATGCAGCACAAGAGTTAAACGGCTAAGTCTGAGACGCGAGGTTCGAGCATTGTCATCTCCAGTTTTGAGCTGCTGACCAGAGGAAAAAACATCCATGGCCTAGACAGTTACTCTTTAACCAAACAAATAGACTGACTGTCACTTTTATAATGCCTCTGTAGCTGAAAGTACGAAGCGCGTTAGGCAACATATAGCGACTCTAGTATTGGACTTCTCAATGAGCATCCCTTTGCGTCTTCTTAATGGCACAACGAAGTATTTAACACGGTTATTTCTTAATCCTTAAGAGTATTTATTGCAGAAGGCAATGAACAAAGTTGTAAGCAGTCAAGTGTGTATTTGGTTAATACCAGAGTTTCAACGTTTTCTAGACTCCTGTAGCTTAAAACTCGTGTTATATTATACATACATTATATATAAACGAAACCACTTACGTAATACATTCTTGGCCAAAATATTTACATACTGTTCTATACTGATGTTATTGTCTACATGCATGGAGTAGTTATTGAGTAAATGTCCGAGTAGTAACAGAAAAGGTAGCGTACGATCGGACAAACATGTACGAGTTGTTATTGTGGTCTGTATACGTTGTTTTGAGCATTTTTTCGTCAAAACACACACACACATATATACGGCCGTTTTGTAGAAAAGGGTGTGATTTTAGTATAATATTTTTTTTAAAAACAGATCAACATTATTTTTGCATCAGTTCGTTTGTTTGTAATTAAGCACAAAGCTACACAATGGGCTATCTGTGCTCTGACCACCACGGGTATCGAAACCCGGATTCTAGCGTTGTAAGTCCGCAGATATACCGCTGTGCCACTTGGGGGGGGGGCTTTTGCACGAGGTGTTATTAAACATGTTATGAATAATTTATTATTTTTGTTTGTTTTTTAAATTACAAGTTGGTCATTTTTTTCGAGCTTACATAGGGATGACAAAAAATTCTAAATCATAAGTTTATCTTGGCACAAACGTTAGAAAACTGTACTTTTAGGGGATATTACCCGTCATTGGTCCAGGTAGATCGAAGATGTTTTGATTGGTTTAGAGAAAAGTCACATTGGGCTATCTGCTGTGTCCACCGCGGGGAATCGAACCCCATATTTTAGCTTTGGAAGTTCATAAACTTACCGCTGTCCCGCCGGTGGACAAGTCGATGATAATGTGTGCAACTGTAGCTATATTTTAAATAGGGGGAGTTTGTGAGGTTTAATATTCTGTACTTACATTTTGTTTTCGTCTGGAATTACCGTGTTTGTGTTATTTTAATAAAACTCAACCATGCAGTGAGTGAATGAATGATGAAGCCCACTGCCCAGCAGCCACATAACCTTTGATCAAGAGAAAATGAAGCGTGTGAAATAGAGGAACCCCGTTTCATTGTCATCGTTACCAACGGATCAGATATATATATACAATAGAGACGGCTATTATGGGTATTAAAAACTTTTATTTAAAACACAAAACAAATAACGTCTCAACCTCCTTAGGTCATCGTCAGGTTAAGAATGACTTTTGAAAAAATGACCGTTATTGATCACGTGTCGTGGGGACAACAGTGATGATAGGTATAAGATTATAGGAGGCGTTGTATATATTTAATCTGTTATATATGGTACGTTAACGGTTTAATATCATATGTGAACACATTTAATGGAAATAATTACTTATCATTACTGCCGTTACAACGACACGTGATCAATAGAGGTCACTTTTTCAAAAGTCGTTCTTAACCTCATGATCAGCTAAGGAGGTCGAAACGTTCTTGTTTGCGTTGTGTTGTAAATAATAGTTTTAATGCTCATATCAACCGTATCTATTAGATATACTTACTTCAAGTGGGTTCCTCGTCGTCATGAACCAGATATACATGTTTCACTATCAACCTACCACGTGTGTTCTACAAGAAACATTATTTGAATTATTTTATGTTTTATTTTTATTTTCTGACCTAAAAGGAAATATAACGAAATCAAAAAATCCTTCAAAGTTTCTTATGCATAAAGTTTTCTTTTCTTTTATTAATTACATTCCTGGACTCCACGCCCTATATATTTTTGGCAAATTCAGCCTTTTGCTAATATTGAGATAACTTCTAGTATATAGTAGCAGGTTATACTGACAAAATATATTTAAATGATACTATCGAATGGCTACAGGAAGCAGGTTTACAAGGAAATTACCACCAATTGTTTTTGTTGGTTAGGCTTAATTGATATCATAATCGTGTAGCTTATATTTCATTGCATCTAACGTAAATAAATGTGTCATTAAAAAAAAAAGCGAATGAGGAAACTTGATTTCTACAGAGCAGAAACAGGTCCAGTGTAAAAACCTATTCTCCAGACCAGATAAGTAGCTCTTATGGCACATCAAGTAACAGTCGAGGTCAGAATCCATTTACTTAATTCTGGAATTGGCTGGACATATTAATTCTTTTATGCTTCCGTGAACCACCCGATGAGGAATTCTGAAGTTTATCAACATTTAAACTTCAAGACTGGATGGGCGAGCCCAAGATCAGTATATTTTTTATGCGACAAACCTTATAGTCTAAATAACAGTTTTGAATTTTTTAAAAAAAAACAAGAGCTACAATAATAGTAATGTCCACCACTGGGAATCGAACCCCGAATTTAAGCGTTGTAAGTACATAGACTTACCGCTGTCCCACCGGAGGGCGACGCGCTCCTATTGGGTATTCATGTTCACGAACAAACTCCTAAATCAAATAAGCGTTTTTATTTTATTTTTTATTTTTGCTTCTGTTTCTCCACAAGCAAAATTCGTTTCGATTTAGTCGAAATACGCAAATATTTTTTTTGGTTTTAGTCTAAAGACTCCAATGTTGCTGTGGAGCCACAGGTTGTACAAAGCTACAAACGTTACTCAAGATACCTTCTTTAAATTCTACGAGTGTTTCTGATGAGTTAACTTAAATTATTCAACACAAGAGAGAATTTGAGATGTTTTTACTCGTAATTCATTGGACAATTTCAATCTCCAGTGAATAAAGTAAAACTCGCACGATACTCATTCAACTGATGGACGTGTTTATTAATCATGTATAGTTAAATCAAGGAAAAATCCTACCTTCTGATGCACTTCCCCTATAAAATTATTTAGAAGAAGTACATTTGTCCACCACCAGTTTCTACATCCCTCCACCAGGGGATCCAGTGTCTCGTGCCAAATAGGCCCGGAACCGAGCAGAGGGAGAAGCAGGACTAAAGATGAGATCATCAGAAGAGTTGGGGTCAAACTGAAAATGACAAGTAAGTGAATAAATAGATAAAGTAGGGTTAAAAACAATTTATTTGTGAAACAAAATGTTTAAAAAAAGTGCAGCTTGCAAGTCAAATATCAATTCTATCTGTTTTTTTTTGTTTTTTCGCAGTTACCAAAAACGCAGATAAACAAAACTTTTATTCGTGTTTATAAAAATAAAACACTGTGCCCTTTACTAGAACTAACAACAAAATCTGGTGATCGAATCTTTACTTGTTTTGATAATTCATAAAACCAGCTTTGAAATCAAAACGTTTGAAAAACGCGCGGTCTTAATTTACCACATATATCCTCTTTGAGTAGACAGAAAGTTGTAATACTAAATTTAACTTCTGCAAACCGAAACAAAAAAAAACAATAATTCGTCCTGAATCTTTGTGTTTTTATAATCTTCGCAGAAAATTACTGCACACATTTTTTAACTGATAGACTAGAGGGAAGACTAGTGAACAGCACCCACCGCCAACTCTTGAGCTACTCATGTTTGACTGAATAATGGGATTTGGCCATCACTCTTTTAGTTCATCCATGGCCTAAAAATGGGGAGCGCGTTTTTTTTTGCGGCAACGGACCATGAACCATGAATCTTCGGATATACAGAGCACACTTACCACCATTCCACGTCCTCTCACATGCTGGCGATTTCTTAGAGAATCAGTAATAATAATAATAATAGGTATATGTCTTTGTTTTACTGTCAACAATGTATAAACAAAAATACTATTCAAAATTATTGCATATTTAGGTTGTAGAAAATGAAATAACCTCAGAAATGTTACTTTGTTTTTACAAATAATTCATCCAAAACAAATAATGTTTATAAGTAATCACATTAGCCTTTTAAGTATGCAAGAATTTATAGAAAGAGGCACAAATACTTTATATACTTATCAAGTTACTAAATAGTCCGTTAAAACTGAATACACACATATATATATATTAATAATGAATCAATT